CATGTAAACTCACTTGCGTCGAAATGGTAGGTTACTAGGTCATGCCCTTGTGGTCAAATAAGGCCAAACAAGGTCAAACTACAGATTGAGTCTCAAGTGCCTCTTCAAGACCTCTTCATGCAACCGCCGTGAAGCTAGATACATCTTTTAAGTAAAAGGTCAATGGCGATCAATCAAAGGGAGTGTTTTACATTTGAAGATATTGAGACAAGCATCAAATATGACGAAACAAGTTCACTTATCAAAATTCTTATACTTTTTAAACGGAAATTGCTACTAATGCGTCATGGCTTGACTACGTCATCGTACCTCGCACAAAATTGATGGAAAGTCAATTGACGGCCGTTATATCTGGAAAGGGCGCTCACGCCAGACATGAGCGCCACAACAATGGTTTTTCTTGGTCTTGATCACCGCATGGCGGATGGAATGGCAGGATTTGAATAACATTATCATGACGTCATGGATGTCAAGGTGACTTTGAAATACTCCCCCTGATATACCTTTCCCCAATTTCGCGGGGGTGTAGCCCAGAAACAGGATGAGCTTATGCATCAACATGGGCATAATTGTGAACAGCACCGAAAGGTCTTCATGATATCCATTTCAGTTCAAAACCCCACTTAAATGTGGAACACTCCCTTTGTGGTCACTTCTTTGACCTTATCTGACCTTTAAAAGGTCAAGGTGACCAAATGTATACGAGATTGTCCAGATTTTGTTCTTCAAATAGGTGTCAGGGATTGCGCTAAGCAGTATGTTTCTTAAAAGCCGCCGGCCTGGGTTAATTCAGGTCAGTGACCTACTCTGACCTTAAGAAGTTCATGGAACATGTATTCGGGTCCCTGTCATTAATAAATTCGAAGTAAGCGCCTGAAACTATCCCTTAAACCAAACTCCCGAGAAAAAGCATGTTAGTTTTGACCGCGGCCTAGCTGTTATCCAGATTAATGGTTAATGGAATTCGTTGTATTAAATTCAACTGGTTGATTTAATAAGAAACGATGTCAGAAAGGTATGGCTTTTTCTACACTCCGTTATTGCATTACATTGAACGACTCCATAGAAATGCATTCACTGACAATTATGACCCGACTTTGACCTGTCATCTGTCATTGGTCAGTGACATTACAAGTTTCATCGGATTTTTTGTCGTCATAAGGTCCGTTGTTAAATTCTCTTAAGCTTTCCAACATCTGGCGCGGATACGCTACGCCGTTCCGATATCAGTCTTGAAAAGCCTTCGAGGAGGAAGTCAAATTGCCCCCCACTCGAGCGCGTATGAAGCAGCCACATGTCTCTATCGCTGCTGGTCAGATGCAATCAGCGACCGATGAACTGACCAGCAGCTGTCCGTCATCCTCCACAGAGGTGTTGCTGTCCCCGCTGAAATCCTGACTGTTCTTCTGCCACCGGATTACGGCGGAGGAGTCGGTGGTGGTTGTGCGACAGCTCAGCTCGCCACGGGTGCCGGCCCGCAGACGCAGCTCTTCCGGCATCTTCTCCAGCTTCGGAGGACCTGGGATCACCACAGGGTCAGACGGAATCTAGGGTCGCTCGAGGTCAGATGGTAAGCCTGGCGTCAGGTGGAGTCGTGTGACGGGGATGGGGTCACGCGAGGTCAGTCGGCGGACCTGGATCGGTCGGGTAAAGAGCGGATCTCCGGTCACAATGTCATAACACGAACTTTGGATTTATGGGGTCAGACGACGGATCTAAGGGTACACAGGTATCAGGCGACGGACCTGGAGTCACAAGGGGCCGGACAGCGAACTTTGGGTCAAGCAGTACACCATCCAGCGTGTGCTAAATTAGCGGACCAAGGTTCACCTAGCCACGAGGCATGATCTGAGGGCAGAAGGGGTCACCATGATGGTCTGGTTCAAATAGAGTCAACGTCACCTTGTCCGAAGACAGCCAGCCTGTTTGAGTATGCGCCCCGGTGCTCTCCTCACACATGACATTCGAAACCTTACTAATAAAACTCCGAACTAACCATCCCCGCCGCTATCCCACTTCCCGCCACCCCGCCCTGCATCCACACGAGCTGCACGCTCGGTGCCGGCGACGCTGACCGAGCCGCTGGAAGACGGTGACGGCGGCGGAGGCGCGTCGTTCGCCGGCGGTGCTGGCCGCCCGGCAGGTGTAGGTGCCACCGTCCTCCTGGCTGGCCAGGTGTACGCTCAGCGGGTTCAGCTCCGGCCTCGGCGTGCCCACGGGTCGACCGTCGTGCAGCCAGCTGAGCAGCGGCGGCGGCGCGCCGAGCGCAGCACACTGCAGAGTGAAGCTGCCGGCGGGAGGGCGGGCCGACAGTGGGCGGGTACAGCGCACTGCAGTGTGAAGCCGCCGGCGGGACGGCGGGCCGACAGTGGGCGGGCGCAACGCACTGCAGAGTGAAGCTGCCGGCGGGAGGCGGGCCGACAGTGGGCGGGCGCAGCACTGCAGCGTGAAGCTGCCGGCGGGACGGCGGGCCGACAGTGGGCGGGTACAGCGCACTGCAGTGTGAAGCCGCCGGCGGGACGGCGGGCCGACAGTGGGCGGGTACAGCGCACTGCAGTGTGAAGCTGCCGGCGGGACGGCGGGCCGACAGTGGGCGGGTACAGCGCACTGCAGTGTGAAGCCGCCGGCGGGACGGCGGGCCGACAGTGGGCTGGTACAGCGCACTGCAGTGTGAAGCCGCCGGCGGGACGGCGGGCCGACGGTGGGGCGGGCGCAGCGCACTGTAGCGTGAAGCCGCCGGCGGGACGGCGGGCCGACAGTGAGGCGGGCGCAGCGCACTGCAGCGTGAAGCCGCCGGCGGGACGGCGGGCCGACGGTGGGCGGGTACAGCGCACTGCAGTGAAGCCGCCGGCGGGACGGCGGGCCGACAGTGGGGCGGGCGCAGTGCACTGCACATGAAGCCGCCGGCGGGACGGCGGGCCGACAGTGAGGCGGGCGCAGCGCACTGCAGCGTGAAGCCGCCGGCGGGACGGCGGGCCGACGGTGGGGCGGGCGCAGGCTACGATCGTGTGAGACGGTCAGCTACGCCAAAGCCGTCGGCGCAAACCGTGCACATAACCATGCACTTCTTTGATATGCTATATGTAATAAGTGCATGGCGTTGCAGACCAACACGTTTTAAAGCCAAAAGCGGCCTTAAACAGCCACTTCAAATGATACATAAGCCGTGTCCGATCCTCTAGGACGATAAAGCAGACCGACATCGAGGTAGCTAGTTCCCACACAAAAAGAGTCAAGTGCGGGCAGTGACAAGGACCGGGTGGCCGGGTCAGTTTCAATGACGCACCCGACACGCTATCTGCCTTGGGGCCATCATTGCACATCATTACGTGGCCTTGGTTTGAGGTTACAAGCTCACAGGCTCACGAGCATGAAGCTTCTGGGAACGGGCCACCTTCTTCATGTCAGATACCGAAATGTCTACAACTGTTGGTACCAAATGCCTAGTTGGAATTAACAAACATAGGAGGTGCATGACCAACCGCACAACCATTGAATTCCGACAATGAAGGGCCGCGCGCTGCGCGAATTTACCACAGAACAACACCGCTGTGCCGTGCAAAAACACTGCATTAACGTTTAATAAAGGAGGGGTACGGAACTCGTGAATTAAGAACATGTTGCAAAACGCAAGTCATGACACACTCTAGGAGTTATTTCCTTCTAGGGGAAGCAGCTTAACACAAAGGATATCATTGTTGATTCCTGTGACAAAAGAGCTAAGCTGGGCACACTTTCCTGGGCATGCCGTTGACTGTGCGACAATGTCACCTGACACTGCGCTAAGTAGTAGTAAACAGGTTGTAGTGCCCTTGGATCCAGCCGGACGCGCGCGCGTCATCGTTATTTCACATTACCATACAGGGAATACAGAAGTGGACAATTGGTGGGAAGCGAGCGACAAGGGGACAGACCAGCTTTGTACACTGTATTTCGAAACTGTAGCATAAAAAGCGCAACCACAACCACACAAGCCTTCCTTTCAAAGCAGCTCAAAATTGGCAGCTCGGACAGCCCCTGCCACAACATGGGCACTCACTTTCCCATTTTGGGGACGACCACGTCATTGGGCGTCTCGGTGAACGTGGGCACCATCTGGGCCTCAATGTTGAACAGCTTGGCGTCCTTGCCGATGGCGCTGACGGCCACGCACATGTACTCCCCGGCATCCTCCAACTGTGAACAAACGACATCCTCCAACTGTGAACAAACGACATCTTCCAACTGTGAACAAACGACATCCTCCAACTGTGAACAAACGACATCCTCCAACTGTGAACAAACGCTGGAGTGGGGGTCCAGCGCAGCCATGGAAAAACAAGAAGGATGATTTAAAGCTATTGTGAACATATGTTGCATTAGCAGCAAGAAAATAACCGCATATTTTTCAGCTTTACCGGCGTTCGTTTTCTGCGATATGAATATGATGACATACCATTTCCACAGCAAACATGTTCATAAAGCATCACAATTTGCTACATCGCGACTTGCCCGCCACGTTGCTGTTCCAAATCTGGTAACACAGCTGGCTGGCTGGGTACAAAGGCTCATTCGACTCTCGGAATGCTCGCCGCTCGCCTCGCACCTGGAACGGCTCTACGCTGAGCGTGCCGTTACCGATGGTGACGCGCTCGGCGTCCTTCTCCAGAGCGGTCTGGCCGCGGAACCAGCGCAGCACCGGGGCGGCCGGCCGCTGGCGTCGCAGTGCAGCTCCAGTCGCTGGCCGGGCGTGAGCGTCAGCTCCGGCGGCGAGCTGGAGCTGATCTGCGGCGAGCCGTGGCGATCGAGTGTGACTGAGCTGGGCAGCTACCAGGACAGCACAGCTGTAGGTCCAGTTAGCCCGGGACAGTGAACAGCGCGGGAGCATGGTGAGTAGGAGCAAACCACACGAATGGTGCCGCTTCCAGATTACTGAATTTCATGCACTTCAATGCCATAACATTTCCGTGATGTTGGGCGACACTGAGTGCAATTCGGTTCAATGTGTATCCGCCGGTCGACTGAAGCAAGAAGCACCACCAAACTGGAGAGAAAAGCTATTAGGCATTTTTTACGCATTCCATAGTGCCAATGTATTGTTTTGCCTGACATAACCTGACATTATATCCGTTGTAGCTAAGTAATAGTCTCCCCGCGCCGTCAGCCCGCGCGTCAGGTCCACAGTGCCGCCGCCCTCCAGTCACACTCACCGGTGACCAGCACCTGGACGGGTTGCTCCTCTGTGACGTCACCGGCCAGCGCCCGGCACACGTATTGGCCCATGTCCGACTCGGTGACGTCATCAATCACCAGGCTGCTGACCACCACCGAGCCCTCTGCAGACACGTGAGCCGATGACTCGCCAGACCTTGCGCTCGGAGACGGGTGTTTGTCGGCGCCGGGGCCAGCAGCGAGGGGGTGGGGGTACCTGGGCTACGGGAGCGTGACGGCGTGACCGATGATCGCTCAAGCAACGATTCCAACTTAATGAACGTAGAAAACGAAGCGACAATCGCCCGCATGCAAATGCAATGGCGAATGGGGGGGGGGGGGGGGGGGCGATCAGTTACGATGTCGTCATCCTAAATGCATGCGATGCTTGACTGGTCCACAACACGAAGCTTGCATCCTTTCTTTTCAGAGTCCACGCCAGTTCTTTGTCAAGCATGGTAACTGAGCTGGGAGCGCGATACCGACTCCTGTCTTCACATCACTGAACCGTGTCGGTCCTCCGCCGTATCGGACGCGTCCTTCCCCTCACTAGTGAACTGGAACGCTCAGTGTCGGTGGGAGGGGCAACGTCTCACTGGTTCTGCCGGCAGAGGTTGGCCCGTATTTGGCGGAGGCGCACGTACAGCTGGGTGTCGTTCCTGAACCAGACGAGTTGCACGCCGGCTCCGCTGTCCGTCTGACATGTCAGCGTCAGCTGATCACCCTCTGATGACGTCACCGTGCCGGCCGGCTCTAGGAACATGTCTGCGTGTGGACGGCGGCCAGGTCAGTGGCTGACCTCCGGGTAGGTGAGCACAGCATCCAAGCAGTGGTCGGGCTGCCATCCGCGCGGCTCTCATAACCATCACCCCCGACCATGCCGCGCTCCACTGTCCCGATCATCCCACCCTTCCATTTTTTTTATTAGAAATTGATGCGACCACTTTGAATGGATGGATTTTTGGGATGGGGTGCGTAGTATAGTGGTTAGTGTGTCTGCGTTAACCACCGCGTCTGGAAACCAGAGGTCGGGGGTTCGATTCCCCGGTGCCCGCCCTTCCTGCCAGGGGTGAGAGGCAGGCGACGCCATATAGCATCAGCAGCTGGGTGCGTCGTAAAGCCCCATGAGATGACATGATTTCTGGGAACAGCGCTCACGCTAATCAGTGCTTGTTGTGTAAACCCTGACTCATACCATCCGATCGCGCAATTCCAGACAATGGCAGAATTTAGCGGAGAAAGCTTACTTAACGTGCCGCAATGCTCGCACGGTCCGTCCTGCCCCCTGACGTCAACTGACCTTTAGCGCGACCGCTGCCACGGCCGCAGGCCATACCTGTCAAGGGCAAATGGCGTGCGCCTAACGACTCGAACCCACCCCGCCACGGTGGGTGAATCGGGAGGCAGGCTCTCTAACCACTGAGCCGCCGGGACGGACAACCCATCAGATAAATTATCAAATAAAGACGGCTTTTTATCCCATAGCCGTTTGAATAATTGACATGAATATTTTTTAACAGTGGTTTTTAATGTTAAAGCCAACAATCAAATATGGTTCCTAATTAGTGGTGAACAGTACTCAAAATAAAGGTACAGTGATTTGTGACCGTTATTCGAATGAGTGGTGTCCCAGCTTCAAGTTGTTGCTGATATGTGAATAAACTATACATATATGTATTTAGTGTTAACATATATAAGTCGATTTTTATATAAAGTTACCTTACATATTGTCGAACATATATAAGAGATACAACTATTTTCCTCTTCTTTTTTTTGCTTATTATCATCACGTAAGTTATCCCAGTCTTAGCTGTTGGAGCTTCTTGTAAGCGCCATTTGTAAATGACTCGCCAGGACCTCAACCGTGAAGAATGCGAGGATCAACCCGGTTAGCATATACAAGTTTCCTATGCGGATGGTGGATGCCGCTTATGTGAACTTTGCTATAGCAGCAACATTTCCAATTGCCAGATCCCTACCCCACCTCCTTCCTCACTTTACCCCATCTGGCCAATGGAAGGATAAACCTAATGGCTAATGCGGAATGCTACGTAACTGAGCGCAAGTCTGCTTTCATTCATAACAAGACCGCTTAGTAGTAGCGATTCGACGATGTGGCGCTTGCGCCAATTCACACATGGCTGCCTGGTAGCCGTGACCGCGGATTTTAAGACCATGTTCAAAAAAGTGGCGTCATATGCCTTGCTGCCGATAACGCACCTATCCACCCCCCCGCGTTACGCGCGTTAGCAATTGTACGACTCGTAGATATGCTGTGCCTTATAGCGTGAAGATCGCGTGGAGACGTGTAAGCGCACATCACCGCTCTGCGCAGTCGGCTGATGTTTCGTCTCTACTCAATGCGATGAAAACACTCATCTTTGGTCGCCGACTTCTGACATGTGCCCTTAAAGACACCTACAACAAGCAGTACATAATTTGCCCATTGGGTGCACGTCGTCACTGGATGCACACCACGGACCCACACTTTTGCCCAGGGTCCGTCGTGCTCCGGCTCTGGCTTCGACCGGCGCGATGCAGCTTTCTCACAATCAACTTTACAGAGCAAACTTTGAAAGTGCGCGTTAGTTCTTGCTGATTTCTGCATGCAGCTCCGATCAAGGATTGCAAAGATGTTAGGTCGCGAAGAGCGCGACGGCCGGACCGGCCAGACAAGTGACCTGCATTCCCACGCCACCCACCTATGCTGTCCCTGACATGAACCTTCCAACGGTTGGCCTTGACGTCGCCTTGACGCGTAGTGACCTGACAGCATACCGTTCCCGCATGGCTGAGCTTGACTCGTGCCACCTTCATAATCGCACCGGTACCTGCGGAGGAAGGCACGCATTAACGCCAGGCCATAACGCGTGGTGTCATGTTCAAGGAGCCGTCTACGAAATGTATCATCACGCCATTTTCAACAATGCGTTTCTCTCTTATCTGAAAAGAGATGAAATGTTTAACGTGCGGGCAAAGCCGTCACCTTTGCTTACCTGGCTGCGCCTTTTTGCCGCGGCTTGTGTTTTAACCGCCCACTTAACCTCCTCCAAGGGGCCATCGGAGGGGTCGAGCTCCGGGCAGGACAGCGCCATCTGCTCGCCGACGACAAGGTACAACGACTTCTCCTCCCTCTGGACTGGAGCTGGTGGAGGTGGACACCACGTCAGTGCACTTTGGGCGGTTGAATTAGTATTACTGGATCTAAAGAGCACTGGCACCTTCAAGGTACAGTATGCACGTAAAGGTGTGTCAGATACCATCTGCATTCAATTACAAAAGGAGAGAAATCGGCGAATTTGTCTTGTTCAGAGTTTAACAGGTGCTTACGCATATGCAACGGAGAGTGACTGAACACGTCACTGAATGACATCTGTGCGTTACCCTTTGCGTCCAGAGCGCTACAGCAGTGAGCCAGCATAAGTTTATCTATCAGCGATTTGCTAGCGCAGACGGACATAGTCGGGCGGCACTTAACCCGGCGGACAGCACGCAACACTCACCGGACACGACCAGTCGCACTCATCGGACGCGACCAGTCGCACTCATCGGACACGGACAGTCGCACTCACTGGACACGACCAGTCGCACTCACTGGACACGACCAGTCAACACTCACCGGACACGACCAGTCGACACTCACCGGACAGACCAGTCGCACTCACCGGACACGGGCAGTCGCACTCACTGGACGCGACCAGTCGACACACCGGACACGACCAGTCAACACTCACCGGACACGACCAGTCGACACTCACCGGACACGACCAGTCGACACTCACCGGACACGACCAGTCGGACGAAGCGCTCGGCACGTCCGGCCTCGTTCTCGACGACGCAGCGGTACTTGCCGCGGTCCGCGGTGAGGGCCCGCGTCAGCTGGAGTCCCTCAGGCGTCAGGCGCAGGCGCGGCGAAGCCAGGCTGACCGGCTCGCCAGACTTGAGCCAGCTGATCTACCGGACAGCACTGGCCGCTCAGCGGAGCCGAGACAGCGCAGATGGGTAGCGACTTACCTTACGAAAGCGCGGCTTTTATGTGGCTAATCTTTGATCTCATAACACGGCGAGCCGTGTGATCTCGTGGCAGGCGAGATTACTAGGTAAATAACCGTGTGATATCGTACGCAGGCGAGTCATGTGGCTAACGGTGTGATTCATGACACAAGCGAGGCCATCATGTGGCTAACCTATGATCTGGTAACACAGGCGAGGTTCTTATGTGGTTAATCGTGTGATCTCGTAACACAGGCGAAGTTATTGAAGTTTTCGAGCGTGTATTCTCTTCAGTTTGTTCCGTGCAGACCCCCCATGACTGTGTCTCTTGACCAGAGTGGCAGCATGCTGGAAAGCAGCGCGAATCGTGCCACTGCTGCTGCTGTGACGTACCGACGGCAGGAGGGTTTTTGTGGAGCACGGCAGAAGGGTGCTACCTCCGAGAGGCACCCGGACCGTCTCTGCCGGTTTTCCTTCAATGGAAGGCGCCTCTGTCGAGACGGAAAGACACTTGGTATATCGGCCACCAGCCGCTGGCCTCTACGCCGCACCTCAGAGCAGTCTGCTTAATAAGCTCATAACCATCTGCTGGTAGAACGACACCAATGCACACCGGACGATGACGCACTTATGGTTATCAGATGTCGCAAGTTTTAATGGAAAATAAAAAAAAACGCCTTTGTTGAAAACGACAACACCTCATGCATGCAATGTAAGGCACCCCGTCAAAACAGCGCAGTATCGAAAAGGCAACCAGATGGCACTTGAAGGCCGTTTCCTACCGATGACATCCACGACCACGTTGTGCTCTGCCCTGCCCGCCTCGTTTGCCGCCTCGCATGTGTATAAGCCGTCTGCGCTGACATCTACTGGGCTGATATCTAACTTGTGCTTTCGAGAAATCACGGAGGAATCCTGGAACAGCGTACCAATCCAGTTTAAATGACACGGCATCACCAAGATGGTCGGAGTACATCGCCCCCACACTTATATGAAACAGTAACAGTATTGCGCGTCCTTCACAAGACGGTTCAATTTCAAAACATGATGTTCGATGTCCTGTGCTGCACTGTCGCAAAGTGCAAAGATATGTGCCTCGGAGCCTGACTTTAGCTTGTTGGAAAATCTGACTTTAGTTTGTGGCAAACGGGAAGTAAACAGGGGTATAGTTTCAGATTGAGCGTGGGAAGGGAGGGCTCCACCCCAGCTCCCAAATTAGGCTCCAACTCTTCTCCCTCCAACTTTGAGGAAAAAGCTGACCAAACTCGGGGAAAGAGTCGTTTGTTGGGTATTTTGCTGGCAGACTGCGTCATCTTCCACCGCTCGGCTCCTTCCTTGGGCTCATATGGCAAAACTTTGCCCCTGGTGATAACTAAACCTGCTGCAATATCATAACACTTGCTAATTGACCTGATAAATACGGCTCCCGATGTGGGCACTGCCGGACGTGACTCGTCACATGGACTGGATTGAGACTGGACTGGCATTGGGTGGACTGACTGTCCCATCACATGGAATGGACTGGGACTGGGCTGATATTGGATGGATTGAGACTGGACTGCCACACGAATTGGACTGATACTGGACTGAAACTGGATACACTGAACTGATCCGACACATGGACTGGACTCAGACTGGACTAAGGCTGGATGGACTGACACTGGCCCGTCACGTAGATTGGGCTGAAACTGATACTGGATGAACTGAGACTGCCCATCACAAATCATTCGGTCTCATTCCGCCTACCTTGAACCAGGTAATGTTGGGCTGTGGCTGACCGATGACGTCACAGGTCAAGGTCAGCTCATCGCCGACCTTGGCCTTGACCCGATCCGGCCCGGGCGTCTCGAAGTAGGGCGGCACCACGACCTGCACGTCGAACTGGTGGCTGGCGCGGCCGGCGCTGTTGCGAGCCTCGCACGAGTACTGGCCTGAGTCAGCCTCTGTCACGCTGCACGCCAGACAGGACCGGTCTCAGGTCAGGCCTCCGGCACACTGCACAGGGTCAGAGCGGGCCTCACCAGAGCACTGGCAGCGTTGCAAACACCGTACAGTGCCGGGCAGTGCAGAGTCTCTCCATGGTAAGCGGGCCCCCAGTGTTCCACGGACAAACAAGACCTCCGTCCAATCTCATGGGCGGATGGATGCGCGCCCCTGACGCCTCGCCAGACCACGCATTCCGTGCAGCTGTCCGCCTGTGACGTCACCTGAGCAGGAAGAGCAGACGGCCGTTCATGGTGGACACGATCCGGAAGGGGTCCGAGAGGAGTTGGCCGTCGCGCAGCCAGCGCACCTGAGCGACGCCCTCGATTGGACAGGTCAGCCGCAGCGGGTAGCCCAGCCGGGGCCGCACCGCCGAGGCCGGCGGAGCGTCCGCGATCAGCCGCGGCGGCGCTGGGGGAGGCGAAGGTCAGCACCGACTGACAGGTCAGTGGTGACAGCTACACGGGCACGGGGAAGGTCAGCACCGACTGACAGGTCAGCGGTGACAGCTATACGGGCACGGTGAAGGTCAGTACCGACTGACAGGTCAGTGGTGACAGCTACACGGGGCACGGTGAAGGTCATCATCGACTGACGGGTCAGCAGTGGCGACGGTACTGGGGGTGGCGAGGGCCAGTACGGACTGTTCCGCCAACGGTGGTGATGGCAACATCATTCGGCGAGGGCTAGCACAGAATGATGAGTCAGTTACTCCCCACCCGGCTGGAGGACTGTGTTGGAAGCTTCACGAGACATGGGACAGTCGTCATGTGTCTTAGAATCCTGTCACACCCTATCAAAATAATCAGACGGATTCATCTAACTGCATCATATCAGAGCACAAGCCAAGTGAACTTACGGACATGGTCATAAAGTTCATACGATACGACATTTCTCACGTTCCGCGCAAGTGTGTGCAGTTACTCGAATCTCGCCTGCCCGAAAAATCCAGCACACAAAATGTCATGTCCACTCTTTAAGTCAAGCAACGTGCCTACTAATTAATGTTAACGTTGTCCGATGGTAGTCTGGGATACTTACCCTTAACTCTGACGTTATATTTGGTCACTCGGGAACGGGCCATGCTCGAAGATACACACTGGTACTTCCCACCATCCTTTTTCTACGGAAAAACGAGACTAGGTTGCCATTTCAAAAGAGTTTTGAGGAGTAAACTAACAAACACAGATAACGTTTACTAACATGAGTAATGATGAACGACTTTCTGACATTTCATATTCAGTCTGCGGCTCATCTTATCACCACCTGTATCGATGAATGTTGAGAACTGGTCAGCATTGGGCCAATATCGCAATCACCCGGAACAACCGCCAACAGCGTTAGTTAAGCAGTGTTGCTTGAGTAGGTAAGCTGTATCAAACTACTCATTTCTGTATCAAACATGCTCATTACTGCTCGTATCGGCGCACCACACATACGCGCACGGTTTCACATAGTTCCGTCCGCACGTCCGAAAAAGGTATCCCATAATATAAACTCAAATCCAATGCTTGTACCGGTTTCTATCTACATTTATGACCACACTTTCAATCTTCTCCAGTTACGTTTCGACCAAACGCAAATGCATCGATCGTCAGGTTCGGTTGACAACGACCCTCATATGACCATGACACTATCAATGACGCATAATTTACGCTGCTTCTACTGCATCCTGCACATGCCGCTGGTCTCTGAGCCCGCCGCTAGGTGCCGCACCTGCACTTTGCCGAGGACTAGCTGGGGGCGGCGGCCGGCCGGCCGGCCGCGTGTCGCAGCCACACCGTGCTGAACACCAACGGACCGGCCGACGGGCAGGTCAACGTCACTGACGCGTCCACGTCCACGTCCACGTCCTCAGTGGCCGTCTGCGTCTGCGGCGCCTCTGAAACGGCGCGGTCGAACGGTGCACGTGCAGCTTCGGGTTGCCAGCCGTGGAAGCGGCGTTTTTAGGCTACAAAAGAAGCTCAGGCACCTTTCTACCCGGTGCCCGAACACCTTCACATCGAGTCTCTTATAAAGAATAATTCACTGAAAAGTAGAGCAGTTCAGTGCTTGCGGAGTTCCGACCAGAATGCTTGGAATCCAATGGTTTGAAGCTTGATCATTAACCTCCATACTCAAACACAATGGTTGCAACGCCTCTGTCTACACCAATAACCTTGCACCACGACCTTCTCCAATCATCTTGACACCCAGCGCCGGAGCACGGATGGACGCTGTCCCCCAGCCGTGCCCCCACCGACCAGCAGCACCGCACCCCCCGCCCGCCCGCGCGCACCGTTCACCCGCAGACTGAAGAGCTTGCGCGCCGTGCCGGCCCGGCTGGCCGCCACGCAGACGTACTGCCCGGCGGCGGCGGCCGTCAGACGACGCAGCGTCAGCGCCTGGCCGCCGTCGGCGAGCGTGTCCGGCTCCCGGAGCACGTCCTCGTCCTGCGGCAGGGGGGCGCCGCGTGTGGGGCGAGGCGCCGCCGGTACCAGCGTGTGCGCGTGTGCGGCAGGGCGCGCAGCGGTGGGGCGAGGCGCAGCCCGGTACCAGCGTGTGCGCGTGTGCGGCAGGGCGGCGGGCGGTGGGTGAAGCGCCGCGACATTAGTGGTGCGCGTGTGCGGGAGGAGAGCGTGTGCAGTTGCGCACGCGCCTTTGATATTGCGTGTGTACATGCATGCGTACAAGTTTTGGTTGCGCGCCTAAGTGTGCGCGTGTAAGTCAATGGGAACGGTGGAGATTAGTGCAGGAGTCAAATCCAGGGAATGGAACCTGGAGCGGAACAGAATTCACAAGCCATCAGACTTTGCGTGAAGAGCCCTAATAAGCAGCCGCAGTGCTTGGTCATTGAGTCCACCCTCTCCCGAGACCTCGTCACCGACCTTGGTACCAGGTGATGGTGGGCGGCGGGTGGCCGGACACAGGGCAGCGGAAGGTCACGAGCTACCCTCCGGGCCAGCACGTCCTCGGGCTCCTCCGAGGCTCCCTATGAACGGGGCACTGCAATCGGGAGACGGAGATGATGAGAAACGCGCGCGCAATGATGGGCTACGTCTTAGCAGAAGTTCGCCTGGTTCGGACCTTGGTTTGCATATGGCGCTGCAGCATGACAGGTTTCTGACATGCAGAGAAAGCGCTAATTGCTTCCTTGAAGTGTGAAGGGGTTGCTCAAAGCTTAAGCGAGGCTTAATCGCACCCGGCTCCGCATCGAAAAAAGGACGTTCGCTCTTAGCAAGAATCTGACGCAAGAAAGGCCACGCTCAGCATTAGTCCCACCAATCATCGTCGCCGGAAGCCAAGGGCGGATCCAGGGTTTCATCAGGGAGGGG